TCAACTGGTCGCCGCGTCCACTGTTGCATGTACTAGGTTCTTCAAGAACCCAGCGAATACAAAGTTGCATAATGATCTCGTCGTATAAACTCTCTGTTGACAATTTTCTAAGCACAGTACGACAGTTACTATCACACCGAACTGTTGTTGTAGCGACTATACAAGACTAATACGTCAAAATCACACTGCGAATTCCTCTCTCTGGCTAACTTCCTTGGTCAAATCTATTCACTCTATTTGCTAGATTTATTCTGTTCTGTCTTGCCGCTAGTAACACTATCAATAGTACTGAATACATAAGGTCTGACTCTTAGCAGACGGAGCACAACAGCGTCGCTCTCTAACGCGAGTTTGCGACGAACTAGGTAAGTACGTCCTCGCGATGGTAGCTGTCTGTCACGTGTAGTCTCACATACTTCGAAACCAGCTCAATCTACTTAACGCGATGTGCTGCACACCCATATTGAGTTGATACTCTCTCGTGTATGCTTGACTCAGCCATCCTGTATCACTCGGAGGCACCTGAATGCTGTTTTATCGTCCACTATATCTTATAAATCATTTGTCTAACCTCGCAATTGTGTCCGACCACACTGGCTCGCTCTTGATAATTTACCTGGATCTGTCAAACGTAATATAATAATATAGTTGATGTCGTAGTTATAAGATCTGCCTCGTGCTCGGTTTCCGTGTGTCGTTGTTACAAAAATTCTCGTTTAGAAGTAACTCGACAGGAATAGATCAGATCTACTGGTCTTCAAACGACTATTTCGGTCGGGTAATGCAGACGTTTGCATGATTGTATCATTAGCGATGCTAGGTCGCCACAATACATTACATCGTCGGTGTGTGATAGCCAATGGAATTCAGGTTGCATGGGGGCCGTAGCAAAGTCATATCGTACATCAATCGCCGGTCAGGACTACACATGATAATCGACGATCGTGTATTGGTAACACCATATTATGAACTGTCCTCCTTCTTTGCGTATGCAATGCAACCTAACCACTCCTGATCTCTAGTCTACGGCATGAGATACTAGTACCATGTCAGCGTCGGGTTCTCTACGAAGGACAGGCTAGACCGCGCTACACGAACAATATATACAAATCTAGATTAACAAGGGCACAATACATGGCGTGAGTATGAACAGAATTTAAGAAGAGACCTAACAACGTTTGTAAAAACTATTGACTCGTAAAATCACAAGGTTTATTGGATCCAGATTCTGCCACCCAGTTTTACAATCTCAAGTGTAAGAGCAAAAAGCAACACTCGCGTATATAGAAGTTACGGTCGGAATGGAGGCGTCACACAACCGACGTACATCGTCGAACGCACAACACCATTATAGTCGACGAGAGAGAACAGGCGAGACGCGGAGAAGTAAGACGTGTGATCTCTCTAGAGCAGACCTAGTGTTTAACGTAGTAAGTGTGTGTACAGGATAACTATAGATCAGGAGAGTTATCACCGTATCTATTACATGATTTTCTGACCTATCCGAGATACTGCATATGTGATTTTCTCGAACAGACCTCTTGTAATCGAGTCTCCAGATCCGCTCATTTGATTACCGCTGTGTATCTAAATTAAAAGTTCTCTCTCTCAACAGAAGAAGTTCTATAATGCTCATTTTTCTAGGTTGTATGCAATAGCTACAAATAATTAAAGTAATGAGCCCCTGCGCGAATTTTCGTGACAGGCTCGAACTGCAACAGAATCCGTGTTGCTGTAGACGCGTCGGGCACGGAGAGCTCTTAAACTCAAACGCGTATACGATTCAACATGAGGCCTCTATTATATCCATTCGACGGGCGACAGACTTGCTTACAGGCGCCTCTCTGCTGGTAACCCGAGGCATATGACGTGGGGACATCAGAAGCCGAACTCTGCTCCTCAACGCTAATGCGACGCTATTTTGACGCTCTTACTCGAAGAGTCGTAGAAGCAGTAGGGTCGCTCTCGGTCTGCCTATGTACACAGCGCGGACCTGATAGTGAGCCGTACGCCGCCTGTCCAGTATTCTGGGAGCCCGTAGGTCCGTAGACTCTCCACCTCCCGCGCCGCGACGCCGAACCCGCTCCTGGACACACTGCAGACCGTACCCGACTTTTTCCTGGCACTCTGGAACCCTACCACTCACGCAACCGAACAGTCCACACGATTCCACCGTGGCGTGTGCTTCCGGGAAACCTCGTTTAAAGGGACCACGGATCTTCTCCTCCAAACTGTGCAGTTGTAGCTGACCAACCAGTAGAGAGGAGGAGAGTCCCGAAGAGGATTAAGGAGTGGTAGCCACCATGTCCTACTGGGAAACGGCCTCCGACAAGGAGGCACAGTTGTAGTCGGCGCGTCTGTAACGGGCTCGAAAGTAACCGCTGCACCCACAAGCAAAACCGGGAAGTCTGTAAAGGAGCCTGTCCCCGAGTGCAAGCTGCCAGGCTTACGAGACCTTGCGCACCGCTCACCAAACCCCCAATTCGACGTCCTGATTGGCGAATGGTGGAGTCCGCATTGCCGGAGTACACTCGCCCAAGGTAGCGAGGTACATTCCGCCCGGGAGGTTCCGCCGAATGCCTGCTATTAACCCAGGCTTGTTCGACGGAACCGCACTACGACTGGACTCCTGGCCGCGGTTTCCTCCTAGACGTCACAAGGTGTCGCGCCTCAACCATATGCCAGTGCGGCGACTCCCAAGGCCCCCTAAAGAGGGGTTGCGTAGCCGAGGTGGCCAGCCGCTGGCCGGTCGCGAAAGACGTCCTGCGCGACTCGCGGAAGCGGAGGCTAGGGTGACGAGACGTTATATGAGTCGCACAGGGCCCAAGGACACCCTCGAGACAGAAATAGGCCTTCTGCGCGTCCACTGGGGATGTCGGGAATTCTACCCGAAAGCCCAAGACCGTCGTGCCCCTGTTGTGGAACACCAGCTGGACCCACCATTTCCGCTCGTGCAGAGCCACCTGGCCCACTTCCGACGAGTGGACCTTAATCTGGTCGCCACCACGAACGAGCTGGAGGCTTGCCCCGCGCGCGGAGCTGGGGACAGAGTCTAGCTCCGGATGCCAAGGCCGAGGGTGAGAAGGTCGCCGGCGGAAGTCTCCAGCGGTAGGGGCCGAAGGGCAAGAAGCCTCAGCCCACCAGCGAACAGCACAGGAGGAGTTGGGCCTGGACTATACTCGCATGGCGGCGGACCAGGTCACAGACCCCGGCATCCAGGCTCTGAAGGTGGAGGGCGCGGGGCTGCGCTTGGAGGACCTGTGTGACGTCTGGCATGGGCTGAAAAAGGACGTGAGGACTTGGGATGGTGAGTGCGTGGCTTGTCAGTGTGCTAAGGTGCACCGCCACACGAAGGCCCCTTTGGAGCATTTCCTGGTGCCTGAGAGGAGGTTTGACCACGTAAACATCGACCTGGTTGGTCCATTTCCCTCCTCTCAGGGCTTTTCCTACTTCCTCACCATGGTGGACAGGATGACCCTTTGGCCGGAGGCTGTTCCTCTCGTGTCAACATCAGCCGCAGACATTGCCCGAGCTTTCATTGCGACGTGGGTGTGTCGTTTTGGCACCCCTTCAGACATTTCCTCGGACAGGGGCTCACAGTTCACGTCCGAGCTCTGGAACGCCGTGGCGAGTGGTTTGGGGGTTAAGCTGCACAGGACTACCGCTTACCACCCTCAGGCTAACGGCCTCTGTGAGCGGTTCCATCGCTCCATGAAGGCGGCCCTCAAGGCCGGCCTTACGGACGATAATTGGGTCGACAAGCTGCCTTGGGTGATGCTGGACCTGAGGACCGCGCCAAAGGAGGATCTGCAGTGTTCCACGGCGGAGTTGGTATACGGTCAGCCGCTGAGGGTTCCGGGGGATTTCCTCCCCAACGCATCGGCTCCCTGGTCGGCGACGGCCCAGCGGGCTTTCCTGCAGGACGCCGCTGAGGCCTTCGCTCCAATCCCCACTGCTCTGCAATATACTCAGGTGTCCCGGGTTCCTGTGGAGCTCTGTCTTTATCCGGCACGACGCGCACATGGGACCCCTACAGCCCCCTTAAGATGGGCCTTTCCGGGTTCTGGAGCACGGGGACAAACACCTTGTGGTCGACCTGGGTGGTAAGGCCGAGCACGTCTCGGTGGACCGGGTGAAGGCTGCTCACCTGGACTTAGACCAGCCGGTGGTGCTTGCTCGACCTCCGCAACGGGGCAGGCCTCGACCCCTGTCTCAGAATCGGGGCCTACGGTTCCGGTCCCAACTCTTCCAGCGGCCGCCCCTTCAGAGGTCGCCTCCCCGGCTCCCGTTCTTCGGAGTCGGGGTGGTCGGCTTGTCGTTCCTCCCCGCCACACAGACTTTGTTTATGGGTGAATTCTGGGGGGGCTTGTGTGGTGACACGGGATATGACATAATTCACCGTGTGTTTGGTGTGTGTTGCAACCCGGACCCGTTTGTGAGGGTACCGGGGTTTGTTGGCATTCTGGCTAGCATGATATGCAGTAGCAGCAAGTGTACTGATCTTGTGATTATTCAATTGTTAATAAAGTGTGGAGTTCCATACTGAACACATCGCCTCCGACTCCCTTTCATCGGCTCTACAATATACAGTAATTCTTATTTGAACATCATTTAATTTAGAACAACTACCCCCAATAAGCAACACTTGAGGTGTCTGTTCGTGCTACTTTTTCTGGCCCACTGCAGACTCAGATGTTGTAGCCTTCGTTTTTTTTATATAGGTAATACCTTTATATGGCAATGTATTATTTTAAGTTAAGCCTTTATTGTCAAGAAAATAGGCAAAACTTTACCAGCTACAACATCACTTGTTTAATTTAAACAAAAGGCTTGTTTTTCTCATCAACAAGGAAGTGCTCCTCTCTGATGTTTGGTCTAATTTATATGAGATATGAATCTTTGTATCATTTTATTTTTACTGAATGAGTGGGGGTTTGGTTTCAGGGGGTGTGTCTTGACATGACGTCTATTTTCTGCACTACAACTTCCTCCATCAAAGCGCCATTTTCGGCGTTGTTACGGGACTACAGCATGCTGTTGTCAAAAAGATAATAAGACTACTATTTCAAGTTGTAAGAAATCGTTTTCATTATCCATTGGCAATGGGGCGAAAAAAGAAGAAGCAGATGAAGCCATGGTGCTGGTATCCTTTTGACCGGATGATAACAAAGCAACGTAGAAATGCCAGAGGCTAATCGTTAGCTTGACAAAAGGAAGGCCTAAGCTAGCCTCTCTTGAGGTTTGATCGGCTTGTATGCTAACATTAGCCTAACCATTTGGCTTTGGTGTCTAGCCATTCGTTTTGAAGATTGCTTTTTCCCAGTGTTTATTTAATATCGGTCAAATATTCGGCTCCGACTACACGTAACTGTTAAAAGTTTGCGTTCAATTCACTGGATTGCTGAGAAGAAAGTAATGCTAGCTACCATCGGAACGGAGGTAGCTTGCTAACATGTTAGCCATGCATTGATGATTCCGGGTAGCATTAACGTTGAACGGTATGATTCAAGGTTCAGGGCGGTTAAGTGTGAAACCTTATTTTTACCGAGATGTTTTGTAACCTAACAGCTTGCTATGCCCTTCATTGATCATGAATGGGGATTAGGACTCATGCTACACCTCGGAGCTTTTATTCAGGCAGCATTAGGGTTTGTTTTGAATGCTTGCGTGTGATTCTCTGACTTTGTGAACTGTGTTGTAGCTTAGTATTTGTTCATGTTTCCTCGTTCTATACATTCCTTAACTTCTTTCTCAAGGTACTGTAATCGAGACTTTGATGATGAAAAGATCCTCATTCAGCATCAGAAGGCAAAGCATTTTAAATGCCATATTTGTCACAAGAAGTTGTACACAGGCCCAGGATTGGCTATTCATTGCATGCAGGTGGGTAGCTTTTTTGTCTTTTTGTCCTGGTTTAGTTCATAGCTCTTGCAACGTTTTAGTCAAAACAGAGCTATAACTTATCATACACTGGACAATAGGTGTTCTCTTTAGATATGAATATACACTGGCTCACTTTGCATGCGTTTCAGGTACACAAAGAGACGATTGACAGTGTTCCAAATGCAATTCCTGGAAGAGTTGACATTGAGCTGGAGATCTACGGTATGGAGGGGATTCCAGAGAAAGACATGCAGGAAAGAAGACGAACATTAGAACAGAAATCACAAGGTTTGTAAACCTTCAAGCTCTTTCTGGCCAATTTAGAATAGAAGCCTAGATGTCCAAAATGTGTAATAATGTTGTGTATTTGGAATCATTTAAGATTAAGCGTAAATCTTTGAATATGTTTGTTTATTGTGTGATCTATTACTACTTCGTTTTTATAATGCTGTCGGTTGATGTCATTTGATCATTCTTAAAGCTTCACCACAATCTTATCTTTAGAGAGTCAAAAGAAGAAGTCAAACAATCAGGACGACTCTGATGAGGATGATGATGATGATGATGAAGCAGGACCATCAGTTCCGCAGCCGGCTGTTGTCCAGCCCCAGCAAAGCTACGCTGCTCCAATGGCCCAGCTCGGGATGCCTCCTGTGGCTGGCGTACCTGTGATGCACCCTGGAGCATATCAAGGCAAGGAACCTTAGTGAAAAGTAGAAGTTCGGAATTATCACTAAAAACTTTTTAAAAAAACACCCAACAACCTTCTTTATTTGGTCAGTTTGATCCAAACCAACCACAACTACAAGAATGGTTGAACATTTTCCTGATTAGGTCGTCAATGTATCACTTGGTTTTTGTGCTAGAGTTTATATTTAATTAATAGCAATGCCAAATGTTAGGCTCTCCCTGTAATTCCTACATGTTGTCTTCATCAAATCTCTGCATTTAATAAGCTGTTTATGGTGTTGCTATTTTAGTCCTGGTTTCTGTGTTTGCAATGTATAGTTTATACCTAAACGAGGATTCACTGTTATTGTTGTGACGCACCTACAGTGTGAAAAAGTTTAGACCTGGAATTTAACATAAATTAAGATTAATCAGCGGGGATAGAGATTACTGCACATGTATTCTTGTGTTCAGTTTCCTAGACATGTAGCTGCCTGTTTTGAGTGATATAGTGTTGAGTTTCTAGTAAACAGAACATGTCCCCTCTCATTGTTAAAGGCATGCCTCCCATGATGCCGGGCGTTCCTCCCATGATGCACGGCATGCCCCATGCCATGCATGGAATGCCACCTGGGTAAGAGATGTCTCATTGACTGTGTCTAATGTTCAATGCTTTTTTAGTTTAATCTTAATGATATGCCACTTTTTAGTTTGTGGCTAATTATTGTATCACATTCTATTGTAATTATAGTAACACCAAACAATCCTTCTGTCTTTTGCAGCATGATGCAAATGGGTGGAATGATGCCTCCCATGATGCCAGGGATGCCTGGTATGCCACACGGTGAGTTGTGGTTGTATTCTACACTGGGGTTACACAAGAAATGTATTATCTATTCCAAAAATAAATTAAGAGTTTGTCATATAATAGTATATAGTAACCCTATTAAATCACATTTTTAATCTCTATCATAGCAAAAACTCTTTGTTGCTTCCATGTTTAGATGGTTAGGCGAATGTAGCTGATATGTTAACTGTTTATTTGTTGAATGTTTTCGTATTCACATAATGGACCAGTCTTTAGAGACAGACATTGGCTTTTTAAATAAATGGTTCCTTCTCTTTGTACCTTGTTTATTTAGCCTTTTGTGGTTCCAATGCAATGCAATGCTGGCAGAAGGGTAGATTGAGCTGTTTGGTTGATGTTTAGGAATGCCCCATCACATGGCTCCCAGGCCAGGGATGCCCCACATGGCCCAGGCAGTGGGAGTGATGGCCAGCCGACCGGCGGTCCCAGGGGTCCAGCCCGCCGTCTCCAAACCTCTTTTCCCCAGTGCAGCGCAGGTGGGCAACACACACACACTTTTCTGTGTGTTTACAGGTGTCTCTAAAGTCTCTAAATGAAAGACTTTATTCTGTTTCTTAAGAACACATACTCAGTGACGTTATTTCACACTTCTTTTTTCTGGTTTCCTGGTTCCTATTTTATGTAGCCAGCTGTTCTTCTTTTCTTTTCCGACCTTTCTTTCATTATTATGTAGCATATTTGGTTCCTTATAATTACATTTCGCATAGTATGTGGACATGTTACATGCCAATACTGTGATCTTTCCACCATGCTGCAGATGGGCGCTGTGTGCAGCACAGCAGCTGTTTCTTCTCCAGCTGCAGACCTTCAGTCTGCCTCCTCCCAGCCTCCCTTTCCTAACACGCCTCAAGTACGCTCACAGACAGGCCTCTGACCGGGCTGTGGCAGCTGCATGTTGCTAATGGCATTACTGTCTATGTTAAGCTAGGCTGATAACTGAACAGTGTTTGCCTTGTGCATCAACATTGGCTATGACGTTGGTGTCGGAGGATAGTTATCCCTGACAACAACTGACATATTTTTTAGTTTGTGAGCGTCATTACCCTGCATGTGCTTAAATTAATGCAGAATGAGGCATAACAATCGATTTACATTTATACCATCATACATCATTCACAACTCATACCCTCTTAAGCATGAATTCTGCCATACTAACTCATTGTGCTTTGGCTGTGTGCTGCAGAGGTGCATCGCACACTGCCAGTTTTTCAATCTGAACTCTAAGTCTATCGATTGGTCAGAATTTGTTCATCATCCAATGATTGTTGAAAGTAAATGATGTAAATGTATAAAGAAAAAACGTAAATGATTTATTTGGACGATATTATACATTTAAAGTTAAATCCAAATACTACTTCGGTAGAATAATAAAATGTTGGAAATAAATGTGACTTTGATTGTTTAAAAAGGCAAACCTACTGAAATTGATTGTTGGGCTTTATATCTCTAGTACTCTGTTATGTAATGATTATGACAAAGTTATAGTGCATTTATTAAGGTCTTTTGACAGTTTGTGTCAGTGACCTGCATTGTGTCTTTGTACAGGCCCAGCAGAGCACTTCAGGAGTTCCAGCTTCAAACCCTCACAGTGCCGCCTCCTCCGACCCTCCCAAAGCAACATTCCCTGCCTACACCCAGCCCTCTGTCTCCTCTTCCACTTCTTCTTCTAATCCCTCTAGCGGCGCTGTGGCCAAACCCCCGGCCACAGTGGCCACCAAGCCCGCCACCCTCACCACCACGAGTGCAACTAGTAAGTTGATCCATCCTGATGAGGATATCTCACTGGTAAGTCGCTTGAGCTTTCTATTTTGCCCTTTCCACAGTAAGTAATGACTGATATATATAATATAGTACGTATACTGATTAAATGGGTTGGCTCAATATTTAACCATCAATCTTGTTGTGAATGTCAATAACATAACAAACATGAAGTAAGATACTAAGGGGATATCTGCCAGGCATTAATTCTTACTTTGACTTAGTAGTTACTCTTACGTGGATATGCGGAAAGATGATTCTGAACTTAAATATCCTTGAAATCAGGGCACGCCAACATTGGTTACCTATTCCTCATCATTTTTGTGAGTGTTTAACTTTGCACTGTGAGGGGCCAAATTGTGTTTCTTTAGTCTGAGTGTTTGCTCTGTGTGTTGTCCCCGCCAACAGGAAGAGATGAAGGCACAGTTGCCTCGTTACCAGCGTCTCACGGCCCGGCAGGGTCAGGCCCATGTGGCTGCCCCCCCGGTGGTGTCTGTGGGCGGGATAATGCCCCCACAGCAAGGAATGCCACCACAGCAGCCCGGCATGAGGCATCCCATGCATGGTAAGGGAATGGTTGTTAGTGTGTGAAATACCCATCACATTACCGACATTTTGAGTTAGTCATTTTAAATACAAGTTACAATCAAAACCATTTGTCATGTTTTCAATTATTGGGGCCCTGGTCTACAGTTACACTGAAGCCTTTATTTGAATAAATACATTTTATTAAAGACAATTTAATGCCATTATTTGAAAGTCGAGAGACAGTCAAGAAGTGTTGGGAAAGACAGACATGTAATCGGCAGATGGTCCAAACTGGGGACTAGCTCAGGTCATTTGTGGCCATGTTCTAAGTGGCCAAATCACGCTGTCTGGTCCCCCCAAACTCCCTATGAAAGTATGTTTTGACACATGAAGAGCTAAAGTTAAAACTGTTCCTTTGCCTGAAATAGAAAAGTTTAGCAGCAGGATTAATGTTAATCGGCTGCAGTATTTAATTGACATGATTTGTTAAACCTTTGAATGGCTGCAGTGATCATTGTTCTCTCTCTGTGTTTCCCTGCAGGTCAGTATGGCGCCCCTCCTCAGGGCATGCCCAGCTACATGCCTGGGGGGATGCCTCCTTATGGGCAGGGTCCTCCTATGGTGCCCTCTTACCAGGGAGGCCCTCCCATGGGCATGAGGCCGCCCGTCATGTCTCCGGCAGGACGCTACTGAAGCAGCAAAGCAGCCACCACATTAGGTTTGAGGTTCACACCTTTCTCTCATCCTTGTGCTTTTTCAAACCTAGCTGCAAGCAAAGAGCAGTAAGACCAGTGGCGGTGAAGACAAACGTTGTTTGTTAGAACTAATGGACATTTAATGTAACATCTTTATTGGAAACAGCCAAACACCACTCAACTTCCTGAAAGTTATGTCGTTGTCATTTGATTACATGTGAGGATATATTTTTCCCCCCTTAGGTTTCACTCAGGTTTATAGAGGTGAAGTGTTAAAATGATTCATATTTCTTTTGAAGCTGCTGGAGTTACATGAACGTACCAACCCCTTACAAAGGCAAGTTTCTCTTGTAAACATTTGATTCTTTTTTTTTTCGGTAGCTTGATTGAGGCCCTCACAGCATGCTTAGGTGCTGTTGGACTTGCGTCCCCAACCTTGGTTGGTGAGGGTCTCAGTGATGAAAATGATTCCAACTAAGTAGTGTTATAAATTCATGACTCATCAGTCTCTAGCTTTATCCTTATTTCAGGTTTGTTTTTAATATTTTCTGGTCAAAAGGGTACCTGTATGCATCCTTTGTAATGTTTTATGAATCTGTTGTAATAAAATACATCTTGAAATCCAATGCTGGTTTGTCCTGACGTGCGTGGAGGTGAGTGATGAAGGTTTGTACGGGTGTTCTTCCCTTATGGCTCAGGTTTTCATCAGGTATTTAAAAACCAAGTTTGCCATCATCTATTTTTTGAGGAGTCCTCTTTACCTTGCCTTGATAAGACTTGAAGTATACATTGTTGGTTCAGAAACAGAATAAAGACTTATTGTGCTCAAAGCTCGTGTACTACCAGCCCAAAAGATGTTGGCCAACTTCTGGTTCCAAATACCGCATGTTACCTCATGATAATGATGGAAATAACTTCAGATTAAATAACGGTTCTTGTTCATATATTGCATTTACACAAAAGTGAAAGGGAAACTAAATGTAATTCCTGACTCATTCACTTTTTCCTTCAGTTATCAAACGTGCATGAGTGCTTTAATGTTTGTCACAGCTCAGTCATGTCCCATAATGCACTACAGAGGGCAAGCAAAACAACAACCCCAGCAGTGGAGCAGCTCTGTGGTAAATCCCAATTTTGGAAAGCTCCGTTTTCAGTTTTCTTTTAGATTATAAGGTCAATTAAGGCACTATATTCTACTGACGGTTGATCCCCGTTTGAATGACTAGGGAATGTCTTACGATGGCTGTCGACACATACTGCTAAATAACAACCTACTTTGTGTCTAGTTGGGATTTACAGCGGCAATATCCTGAATTGCTTGGGCAACCATTCCTACAAACGAAAGTAGAAAGATTGATGTTATGAAATAATCCAAATGGCTGGAGCATGTATGAACAGAGGTCACAAGGCCTCACCATCTCTGTTAACGGAGACCTAACTATTTATTTCGAGATGGTTTAGAGAAAAACAGCTGTTAGATTGTTATTTACTGCGGCGCTGTTTTGTATTGCTGGGTGTTTTTTTGTTTTGTCCATCCTTTCTATTCTCAATGTTTTTCATCAGAAGTCATCCATTGGTGGAGATTGCTGTAAAGAAGACAATCTCTGAGCGAATACATTATTCATGCACACATGTAGCGGCAGGGACACACATTTGAGTCTCTAGTGCGCGCATTCATCTAAAGACATGATGACGAGCAGTTTCTCTAGGTATTATTTAGTTTGGCACTATTTCTCCCTCTGCACATATCACTTACTGCTCTGTATTTGTTTTTGTTGTCTGTAGCCCATCCATATCAGCCTTAAAACGCACTCAGCTGGCATGAAAGGTCAGTTAAACCCAGTAAGTACCTGATGTTTATTATAGTGTGGCTTTACCCTCTACAACTGGATGCGAATCCTTTTATTACCTTATTTATTGGTTAATAGTTTGTTTTTCAAAGTTACTATCTCATTAAAGACTTAATAACAAAAGCATGCCTTGATTAACACAAACTATATATGATTTATTCAAAGGTACGTAGACTTGGGCATTGAAATGTAAATGAAATTGTAAGTTTTCTTTTCTCTCTAGTACGAAATTGATTAACATGGTCAGTTATGTTTAAGGGTCAGCTCACCTTAATGAGAACATCATCTCAAGTCGCATCTAAGGCCGTGGTTCCCTGACCCCTTAGAGATGTATTCCATTTCAATAGAGTTGGGTCTTTTTTTGTTAGATCCTCAAACTCCACACCTCCAGTTTAAAATTCTTTGTATAGAGCTTAATTTCAGGTAATTGTTTCAGACTTCCGAGCCACACAGAAGAAAACACAACAACTTTCAAAGTGGAGGGCCCCTTTTCAATGAAGCAACCTTTACTTGTGACTGCATGACACAGGTTTTGGTCTTATTCAATCAGGAAGTCCCTCTTAGTCTTTTCTGAAACTTGATAAAGCAACTTTTTCTTTCAAATAAAATTCAAGCAGTATGAGGTTGACAACCCATATCAATACCTAGATCAAATCAAAGCGACACGATCAGCGTTACTCAATGCTTCCAAGTGAAGACATAGTTTCTGTTTATTTTTATTTGGGTGAACTGACTCTTTAAATAGAAACTCAGATATTGTTGGCAACAACATTTACTTGAGTATTAAATGTAAATATATTAATCATTCAGGTTTCCTAGTGAAATTTGAAATGTATACATTTTTACATGTCTACAAGTCTATCACTGATACTATTTTTGAACTGGTTTTAAAGGACTAAAAAGAATAACTGTCAAAGGAGCAGCTTTGCGTCTGTATGAATGTTACCAAAGTCAGATTTCTTGTCTTTTGAAATAAAATGGTTGCATTATTTTGATGTCACTTGTTTTCTTATGATTCAAACTTGAGGTGAAATCCACCAATCACACCTTTAGCCGCTCAGTGTGGTGGAACCAGTGCACCACCTAGTGGACTATGGGGGAATCGTATTAACCTTTCACATATCCACACTACATCCATCACCACTCCCCAATAGCAATACTGAGAAAATCGGTTCCACTTGACTAGACAAAGTCTCATTTATTGTTGACAGTATATACTATAATGTTAGACGGTAGCTATAATAAGGAGTATAAAGCCTGATTATAGTACATCATATTTAGCAAACCTACACAGAGAAATGATACAAGCATTCAATATTTGGTACATTTTTTGTAGCAATAGGCCTACTGCAGCCATTTTGATGAAAAATAATTGGTGTTACTTATTAAATGTTAACTTATGAAGTGGCCATTAAGGGAATATAAACTTTTGAATGCAGCATATTTACTAGTAAACGATTTTAAGAATATATAAAACGTTTTTTTTTTTTTAAAATATATAATTACATCCCAATGTAAAGTACATTGCTTAAGCTTTATTTGAATTGAAATGATTATTACCCATTGTACCTAGGCAATAAAGCGAGACACATGTATTATTAAAAATAAATACATGGAAACTTAAGCTTAATGTTGTTTGTTTCTTAGTATCGAGTGCTGTTTGTAGAAACATTTCCAGGATATACGCTTCTTTAATAATGGAACGTGGTCACAAGCATCATGGGGCCACACGCTAGAAATAAAGTGCTTGAGTGGTTTGAGGCCTCAAACATTTTGCCTCAACAGACTGTATGAGTGCATTTATGAGTGCATTTTTGGGCATCGCCATTCAAGTTTAGCTAATCGATAAAAGTGATTTAATGCATGAAAACATTTGAACAAATCCCTCTCAAAATGCAGCACCCTTGAGCATTAGCACTAAGTAAACAGCTTTAAAACAACTGTTGAACATGAGAACCTTGTATATGTGGTTTCCTGCTGGACGAGTAGAAACCTAAACCACAGTGTAAAGAGAGAAATGCAGTCTACCACGTTTTGTACCTGAAGTGAAAAACAAGTCTCTGGTGTGATGAATAACAAGGTGTATGCTTCTGCACGTTCTTAGTTTAATTTATCCACTTTTTCATTTCAAAGTCTGCATTTCAATTCTGTCCAGGGCCTTTTTATGGTGGATAATTTGGTGCGTCATCTTTTCATTCTGTTTCATTTCGTTCTAATATTTTTCTAGTTTTTTCTAACCTGAAACACAAGTTAAAATGCCTGTAAATCTTTGACATTCAGAAATTAAAAAGCCTCTCGGAAAAGTAGAAAATAGACAACAATACATCCAGCTGCCTTTGCTTTAATCTAAAAGCTAAATGTAAAAGGTATTTCAAATCTTTTAAATTGTAGTCAAGTCTTTTCGTCTCTAACATTTGAACATGTTCCCTTTCAAAGTTTTGAAAAGCTAGGTTATCATTTAAGACCATTTCAATAGTCTTACTGCATGTCTATACATTGAAAACACAATTAGTCCTTATTATTTCAGTAATTCCTTCTTTCCAAATTGTGAATATAATTGATATTGAATATGTTTTGAATGCTTAAGTCTTATAATCAAATACTAAAGCTGTACTTGGCTTTAATTCTTTTGTTTTTTGCAGCCAAGCCTTGAGCTCACATTATTGTCAATTGAGTCAGATGGCACGAGCCCTTCAGTCTTCAGGATGTGTGACGGAGGTCTGTCCACTGATGCACATTATCAAGCAGCAGACGCATCCTAACAGGCATTCTGAATCATGTCTTCTACGATATGCACTTGGTTGTAATGCTTATTAAATTCCAGAGCCAGGTCTAGAGCAGAAAAGCTTGGATCCTAAGTGACCTGCACATGCTGGCTCTTACAGAGGGCCACACACAGAAAAATATACAGAGGGCTGGGCCACTCGCTGGAGGTGAGTTACAGTATATTGCCTCATAAGTTCAGATATAAGTTAGCGAAATCAATCAAATGTAGGTAAACTATGCTTGAAACTTGAAAAAGCCTTTTTTTTAAGAACAGCCTACATCAAAGCACTCTATAGGGTTTCATTTATTCTGTAACAAACAGTGTTGCAGCTCATCCCTTACAACAGGAGCCTCAGATTGCTCACAATAAGGGGCAATAGGAAGGGTGTATTTCAAGCTTGTTATGTAAATAAGTTATTGAGCTTTTTCCTTATCAACTTAAATTTGTTAGAAACATTTTCCAACTTTAATTGACTGAATTTATTTGAAAAGTTGGCTTATTAACACATGAATTCTACTGTGTAATATATGTTTTAGATATATATATTTAAGAAGTACAATATAAGACAAGCACAAGTTTCAGGTGTGGGCCATATTCCATTATTCTTTTAGAATTTCCTGAGGGCCGATTCAAAAGGGCCCCCGGCCGTAGTTTGGACACCCCTGTGTTAGATCATTCTTAATCTGATCCTTAACTGTTAGTCTTTTGTTTTATTGTTAATTTATTTCCATAGTGCCGTCAGAAGGAACTTGCATTGTGTTAGTTAGCGCGTGCTTCCTCTTGTTTTCATCTTGAGGTTTGAAGGTGGAGCTTCATGGAGTTCCTCTTGGTTTCATTTACTGTCAACCACACTTTTAACATCCAGTTCTTAAGTGTTGCATGTGTGCTGTCATGTTTTACATCACTGACTTACCTTAGGATCTTATTTAGTCTTCTGACAGTAATCAAGATGAAGGGGATCCAGTACCTGGCTTTCCTCTGGACTCTTTTCATCACACAGACTGGATTTGGTAAATTGAACATTTGCTACTTTTTTCCAGTTTGAAGTATACTTGGAGTGTAATATGAGCAGTGGCGAACCGTCAGGGCCTTCAAGGTATTCAGAGAATACCCTGGAACACTCCGATAATTTTTTTTTTTTTTAATTTAATTATATAAATAAAATGTATATAAAATGAATAAATGAGAATGGTATCTGTGTTGTTGATCTGTAATATTACAGTGTTACGTTGGTTTGTTTGTCCTTCTCGGTCCATGCACTGCGCATTTCAGTGGTTTTGTGTTAGAAAATAAATGCAACCAATAAGATACTTTTCTGGGTCTCTGGGTAGAATATCCTTCAACCGAGGTATTCTACAGGACCACATAACAGGAACAATGCACAACATATAATATAGCAACTATGGAGAAATTGTGACAGATTGATTTACGTTTGTTCGATTCCTGGACTGTTGTTTTTTGTGATATCATGTTAAATTATAATATGAGGTGTTTTTAAAAAATGTATATTGAACCGTCCCAATCGTCAATTGAATGTTTTATATTGTCAGGCATGAATATGAATCTAATATTACCACAACAGTTGAGCTTCAAAATGTTTCTTAATAAGCAACTTTGATTTATCACTGACACACATCTTTTTCACTCACAAATGTTCCTTTTTTATTTGAATTAAGTGTGCAGTGACATGGAGTTCCTGGAGAGGAGTGAGGGGGGTTCTGTGGTGTTACCCTGTGAGCTGGAGCAAAGGAACACTTCCCCTTACGGCATCTACCTGAAGCGCAGCTGGCTGAATCAAATTGAAGTTCTGTTCCAGTTCACCAAGACTGACTTCACTGTGGAAGACAGTTATGACAAGAAGCGCATCAGTGTCAGTGGAGACCCGAGCACACACTCTCTGAATGTGACCATCTCTCAGCTGAGTGCCAGCGACACGGACCGCTACTACTGTGAGTTTGTGGTGGACAACCCTTCCTCTGAAGACATAACAATACGTGGGAAGACTGAATTCTTCCTCCTTGTTAAAGCTGGTGAGTGATTCAATGTTTTCCATCCCACTACTCTGTATATCACCCACAGGGGGTTGAGCTTTCCAAAATAAGCACAACAATGTCAAATACAAGTGGTTGACATTTAGAAATTGTGCTTGGTGCTGTTTGTTCAGTGTGCTCCAACTAAGCCCCACTGTCTATTAAGGCTTTCATTAAAATAGGTTGAGAACTATTATGATTGTTAATAATTAAGGCTTGGTCAAGGTGCCCTGCGACCAGAAGGATTGTGGTGGAACTGTAAATGTAGGGAGCATCAAAGAGCTAACTAAGGATAGGTTTAATGCAGGGGTGTCCAAACTACGGCCCGGGGGCAAAACAAATGAAAGCCTTTGGAGAGCTTTGATGTAGGCTGTTTTTTTCTTACATTTTCAAGTATCAAGAACAATTTACCTACATTCTTCCAAATTATAACTGCACTTAAGAGGCAATATACCTCGCCTCTACGAGTGGCCCAGCCCTTGGTGTATTTTTCTGTATGTAGCCCTCGTGAAAAAAGTTTGGACACCCGTGGTTTAAAGGGAAGGATATTGGCCTACAGTACAACCAAAAGTCACCCCCATTGAGTTTCACTGACTTGTAAAGTTGTAATAATTCTTATAATCCTCATATCAATTATGCCTTTTTAAAACTGGCTACCATTAAGTATTTTTGCTAAGACTGTTTTGTTAATAGCTAAATACTCAGGGAAAGTGGAAAAAACGGTCAAAATCCCCATTCTGTAGGCCAATATCTAAACTTTCTCTCTTTAACCAAATCACACAATTTGAAATAAATCCACTGAGAAATCCTCCTAAAAACCCTTTGGCAGATATGTTGATTATTCAGAGAAAATAGAATTTAAGCATATAAACATTATTTTAAGTTGTATTCATTTCCCCTCTGGAGACGCCCCTGGGTCTGTGGACATTGGGTTGGTAGAGACGTGTTCTGGGGGCTCGGCTGTACTCCCCTGCCTCCCCCCCCATGGGGAGGCCATGGTCGTGGAGGGGGTGAGTCTGAAGCGGCAGAGGGGCCGGGGACCTGTGGAGGTGTTGTACAATTCAAAGCACCAACATGGCAGCAGCCCCCCCTCCTTCTCCTCTCTGTTCCCTGTTGAGAGGGTGCATCTGTCCTCAGCTCCGGGCCCCAGGGGCCTCACCTACAACCTCACCCTGCAGCACCTGCAGCCGGACGACAGCGCCCTGTACAGCTGCCAGCTGCTTCTGCAGGGCGGGCCCCACACCAGCACCCTTCTGGGCAGACAAGTGGTTTTTGTCTCAGTGCAAGGTGGGTCACAGGAGGACTGGATCGCCAGGCTCATACTAACTCCACTTGGCTTTTTCAGGCTTCTGAAAATGAACGTTTCCTTTTCATACTAACAGTTGTTCTGTTGTTCCACTATCTGGTTCCTCCTTCTGGTCTGTGCTCTTGTCTCAATGGTTTCAGTGTGTGATGTCAGTCCAGCTCTGATATCTCAGGATGTCAGCCTTTGACTAACATAACTGCAACTAATGAAATCCATATCAATGGCTATAACTGTATATCACTATTGTTGCATTATTGTTTGTTACTTTTCAGATAATGGTTTTGTAGACCAACAAATTATGCGTGAGGTGGAATCAAACTTCCGTGGTTCACTTCACTGTAACTCTGAACTAACTCACCACCTCTCTTTATTGAGTTTAAATCCAGCTTCTATTTGATATAAATTGTTATGAAAAGATAACTTCCATGTCATGTGACACAGTAGCACTAAAACAATGCAGTTTTGTATGACTACACTGGACAAGTAGGACACCCCTCTTTTTATCCTATGACAAAAACAGCAGTTTATTATGTTTTAAGGTTTTTACTACGCACAAATATTGTGTTTGAAAATGTGCTGAAGGCTCTATTTTAATATTGTACATTTGTTATTATTAATAATATAATTTGTCCTTAAATAGAAGGTGGAGTAAAACCCAATGAAAACAGGTGTGCCCTGTTTGTTGTAGCGTAGTAATAGTGAAAGTTATTAATTTGAAGTCAGAAAATGTAAACTGACTTTTATGTCGTATAAAATAGAAGTGCTAAATTCCAATAAAGAGTTGTGTCCTACTTGTCCCGTGTATTAATACACCCAAACCAACAATGTATTGCTCTGACTAACAAGTGCTGTCTATTTCACTAAAGCCTCATACAGCTTATTCCTCTGGGCCATAGCGCTCAATTAATGTCTAAAAACAATTAAAAACACAAAGTTAGCCACACCGCTGCTCTTGGTACCTTTGTTACAACCAACACATTGGTTTAGTTTTCGTCTTTGAATGCTAAGCAGTTGACCTCCACCTTTTACTAAAGCCCCACAATGACAATCAAAAATATATTCAAAGTGCAGTCTACCACTAGGAAGGGAGTGAGAAGTTGGGAATACCTTTTTGTATTTACTCTAATTTCAGTGGAGAGTATGCGTGTTTGCGTCCAGTAAATGTGTCTCTTTTGTCTTCAACATTTCTCTCTCTGCTTCTTCACAGGAGGTCAGTGTGGCTGCTCCCGGTACTCCATTCTGCTGTATGCTTTGTCCTCAGCTGTGGTGGTTCTCCTCCTCCTGCTTCTCCTGGGATTTGTGGTGATTTATAAAGTGAGTGGAGCTGCTCTAATATGACACTGAGAGGGGGAAACATGAGTGGCTGCACCTGCCTGTAGAGAGCGTGCCAGAGAGTTCCTCTGCAGCTCACCGCAAAACCACAGGAGTTTCACAACTTGTTGCTATCAGTTGTCAGCATGTTTTTCTTCGATGTAATGAGGAAGGCAGTGAAAGACTTATTCTACTTTTTAGTTCAGTTTTAAGACCTTTTTTTATGAGTAAGGAACTCCTGATATGTAACTGTCACCAGAAAACACATCATAGTTGGAATTTGACTTTGTGTGGAATTCCTTTTAAAGATGCTGCCTCTTGACAAAAAAAATGACTAACTCTGATTTGAACAGGAAATCGAGAGTGCGTTCAATCTGTTTTTCTCACCTCACTGATTTGTTTTTTTCCACTCTTTTGATGTCTCTCAGGGCAAAGCACGCCGCAGTGTCAGGTCACACCCTCAGGCCCCCATCTACGAGGAGATGACCGGCAGTCGGAAACTGGCAACCCGAAATCAGGCACCCCGAAATCTGGAGGAAATGGAGCCTTCTGAGTACACAAACTGCACTGTGAAGAAATCCTGTCCTCAAAACCATTACGAAAGCCCGAGAGGGGCCCTCTGCCCCAGGAGTGAGTCTGAATAATGAAATATTAGATCCTGTTACCGACATGGTTTACTAAAACATCTCACACTCTGCTACCTGAAACTCACTCCATCCAGTGCTCTTAAGTTTCTCTAACGTAATTTACCAGAAAGATTATCCACATGCTCTCTTTATATTAGTTGTATCTGTTGACTGTTGGTAGTTTAAAGTCTTCTCGTGTTTTGAAGTTTTCTGAAGAACCTTTTTTAAATGTCTGTTTTTGGCCTTTTCAGCAAATTAAAGTTGGCTTGTAGAATTGTTACTGCTCATGAATGATTGTGCCTTGTGTTTGTCTTCAGGGGCAAAACAACACGTTGAAAGCATTTCCTTATAACATTGAGAAACTTGGTTTTTAGATTTGTAAATTTCTTGGGAAATGACAGCAGGAACCAGGTGGTACATTTGATCTGTGGCTCTTTACTGCACCTCATACTCTCTATGTTTAGCTGTTTACAATGAAGTAAAAAAAAAACATAAATACAAAAAAAACTAACAAAACTGAAACAAATATTTTAAGAATAAGAATTCCTGCACAGAACCAGAGAGTTATCCCTGGATTTTTTTAGACAAAGCCTTAAGAATATTCAAGACATTCCCAGCATACCGTTTATGATTGAGTGCTGTTTTTTTGTAATCATTATTTATCAGAAAAAAATATGACTTTTTAAATGGCTTAATATATTAAATAGTTCTGACATTTTTGTGACATTTATTTTTTGGGAAATTCTGTAACTATAAAACTGTTTGTATTCTTTTTATTGCGTAATATACTATGATTTTTTTTTAAAGATCACTGTATACAGTATCAACATAGCTCTCACTCCTAATAAACATTATATTTTCACTTCTGTCTCTTTACTGCTCTCATTCAGTATGCATTGAAATGATCAAATATCGCTCTGAGTCAAACATGAAATCAGAAACCATTTAAAAAAAAAAAAAGAAGTGACAAAACACGGAGTAACAGCAAGAAAATTTGTATTTATTAATATAGTCCGAAAGAAGCTCCATAATTCATAGAAACATTTTTTTCCGGTGCATGTCCTTAACAATCACATTCTATGAGGAGAAAAAAGAACAACATTAAAAGCCACAACTTTGTATTTCAGTTACAGACATTTTTCCTTAATGTTTTTTTTTCAAAGTAAAGAGAAAGGCAAAGGCAAAATACCCCCATTCCATCCCCCCACCCTCGTCCCCTTTAAAAAACTGACAGCCTTAAAAGTCATGGGCTTTTTTTCTCCAGTACAACCCACAGTGCTTTAGCCGAAGGATAAGCGCTCATTGGTTAAGGATTACACAGCATGGCGACACAATGTAACATTTTTGCTAAAACATTAGATGACGATGATGAAAAAGGAGGAAGGGGGAAGTGAAGGAAATTTGAGCAAGAGACAAAACAAGAACAACCCTAAATCAAACCCTGAACCCCAGACTGAGTCGACAAACGCCCGCAGTACAGCAGCTGGGTTTGGACTCTTCCCTCCCACTTGTGCATAGATCATGATCCTTTAAAAACCAGCTTTACTCCTCCACTTCAAGTCTGCCTCTGAAAAACCTTCCGTTACACGTTAAGAAAACCTCTTAACTATTGAAATACCTGTCACATGTTAACAGACAGGAGAGATGATTACAAATAAACTTCTTGCACAATGCTCCTGAACTACAGGATGGAAACTTTAACAATAAGTCAAAACATACAAATGCATTTTTATGTCACTGTCTTTTTGACAATCAAACCATTGATCAGGTTAAATGTAAAGCAATTCTACTTAGATTTCACATGTAAAGCACTCCACTTTTTTCAAAGTTGATTCTCAGTCTTATTTGGTAAATATATAACTTGCTACGAACATTTGTGTTGTTTGCTTTCAAGAAAACAATGGTACTCTGTTCTGTTAAACTCATGACCTTCAGTGCCTGCTTGGAGTTTAATTGTTTTCAGTTGGGTTTTTTTTCACACAAAAGATTAAACCTAGAAATGATGGAGTTGGTATCTGGAACCCTGGCCTTCCTGAGACATAATCCACATCTTTTATGAGTGTGCAAGATCGTGAGCAAACTGCGTTGCTTACAGGAAACATAACATCACAACTTACAGAATACATACAGATAGATAGTCTGTCGACGCTGAAAGAGAACTTAAAAATTGAAATATGACAACACTGATCAATCCCAGAGTTCTTAAAGTAGCATAAATCTTCATTTTGCAAAAATGTCATGTCCATATTTGATGGAAGAGGATTTCTTTTTTTTTTTACAACATTCCTGTTATAAATTTGTATTTCCTTGAACTTCAGACAAATGAAATGCTTGTAAACGACAGGTGGCTTTTGCAACAAAAAAAACACAACCCCCCCCAAAAAAAAGATAGGCACCTCTGAAATGAGTCTTGTAACAAACTCACCTCCCACACTTTATCCCTTACCATTTCTCCATGAAGTGAACATAGGGATTACTAGTCCTTCTACAGCTATCTATGGCAACAGTTCTTTGTTTTTTTTACCCCCTTTTTTGTTTTTGTAGGTTTTTTTTTGTCTTTGTATTTTAAGATTTTTTTCATTTTTTATAGAATTGGAACATAATGGTGCAATACTCAATGATAATCCTTGTATTGGATTACTCCACAATAAAAGCCACTATAAGGTAGATACACTTTTTTACAGATAAAATGAAACAAAATCCATTAAGTCCTTGAGTAAACATGTACACATGAATTGTCACCATCTCCCCTCCGTACTTAGACTCGTTTATCTACGATTAGCTGAGTGAGGGGTAGAAGACACTCAGTGCAACGTTAGAAGATAATAACATGTCTATCAAAACAGTTTTTGACAGGACAACAAAAAAGATAAAAACAGACACAAAATATAACATACTGAGTGGAACACAACAACAGGCCAGTTGCCTGGTACACAGTTTCTTGCGCACACATTCATACAAACATCTGACTTTCAAGCACACATCTAAGATGACTTTGCATTTTTACCTCTAAGATTTTGTATTTGTAACTTAATGCAATACATTTTTAATATTCTCTAAGAGTCCCCCAAGTGTACCTGTCAGATGGAGAGAACTAGAAGAGAATTACTGACTTCACATTACATTATTGGCGCTCCATGATTCAAGTATTTGTGTTCAATATTTTGTCGTGTTTTGATATGTTTGAGATTTTTTTTTAGCGACTGGTTGGGTTGGGCTTTTAGACAGGCTAATTGACAAACAAAAACACATTTACAGCACAAGCACTTCAAAGTACTGTAATATGTCATCAAAGCCAGAACGTGCATATCCAACTCTGTGAGAAAGGCGTAGCTTTCAATCAATCAAGTATCAGTTTACACCCGACCCGAATTCTTTCCTTCGTTTCGCTTATTTGCGGGGAAAATACATATTGCTCATTTTTCAGTTGTATTTAACCAAGACCTTTCAAACGAAAATGAAACGTTTCAGAGGTTACGATCCAAGAAGTCTGAAGAGGTGATACCACACACTGAACTCACAGATATATATATGTATACTTACTGTAGTGTATACATATATACTGTCATCTAGAACAGAGCTCTAGAGAGGAGAACCTCTCGATGCTGGTGCAGCATGGGAAACCCCCCTCACTGTCAGGGTTCTCCAGTTAGTACAGGATGCTGGGAGGTCCTCGGCTATTGGGTCTGTCTGAGCTTGGATCAAGGCAGTTACAGAAACAGGCAATAGTGATTTTTGCTTGTGTGCTGCAGGACTGCAAGTCCTGAAAGGTAGCCTTTTCCCGTTTTCTTGTTAATTTTTTTTGTTTTTTAAACTTTTTTTTTAGAATGTTTTTTTAAGACTTTGTACCTCTTGAAATGTGCCCCTCCCCTCCTGCTGATGCAGAGCGAGGAGAGCGAGGCTGATACAGTGGGCCCAAGCCATCTGGGTCTGTGGAAATGTACATTTCAGTGGGCCTGCTTTGAGCAGGACACAAACATAAAAACGAGATAAATACAGCATCCACAAAAAGGCACCCCGGCCACCACTCTACTCCGTAAGATGGTGGACGTAGAGGCTGATGAGCGGAGACGTTTCAGCTAGAAGTGCAGAGATTTAACATATTATAGATCTTTTTTTTCACTTAGATTTTTTAGCATTTTTAAGATTTTTATGTCAAACTTCATAAAAATGACGTTAAAATGCAATTTCATTTTTGGTTTTAAAAAAATATGTACCCGGGATTACCCATCATCAACTGTGCACTGTAGCAAACTGGAACCCCCAACTGAGTAAAGATTTTCTCCTTAGCATGAGGCATCCCCAACAAAAACACACAAAAAAAAAGAATCTCAGTCATTGAAGGGTGTGATGCTGCTGCCCATTGGTTTGATCCCTCCTGTCCCCCGCTTCACCCTCTGCAAAGGTTATCAAAGTTCCTCCCAACAGGGAACAGAAGTGCTCTCTATAAAGATACAGTATGACACAGCAAATTTATATTGGCACATTACGTTGGCAACTTTTACACGCAATAATTGGCCCCGAAACAGTAACAATAGGCCACCTTTTGAGGAAAAGGATTCAATACAAGCCTTTTCCCTTCCAATTAGGATTACGTTCGAGGCATGAGGTCTGTAAAAATTGTTGCACAGATGGCCTTTTAATTTTAGACTTTGCTCTCACAGTAGAAAGGACATATATATACGGAGAGCTGCATCTCATACTTGGTATCATCTACTCCCCTACCCTGAGATCAAGCTGGACAGAAGTGTCTTCAGCGTAGAGAGAAAGACCGACTTCGAGTACGTGGTCGGACTTTAATATATGACAGTGTTCTGGTGGCTGATCCTGACTTTAAAGAAACGGCGGCCATTTTTAAGTGCTGACAGAAGCGCACAGAGGGTGCAAGGGTTGGGTGTGCCAAGCTCTGGGAGGAGTGCTCATTCCCGAGTCAGGTTTGGCGTGCTGTAAAGGGCCCCAGCCTCTAGTCTTTTGCATAGAAACAGATAGGAGGGCCTGGTCAGGGGGGGGCTACTGGGTCTGGTCGAGGAGGAGGAGGAGGTCATAGCGTAGCAGCTAGGCAAAGGGCAAGGGGGGACAGCCTGCGGGCAGGCGGAGCAGCTTGGAGCAACAAATACCCACACCCGTCTGAGACACCCTATTTTTACACATCTCAAGATACTACCTGGAAGTACTACAGAGTACTGTCAAACAAAAGCATGATCAGTTCAAAACAAATAGACAATCAATAACGCTCTGTAGTATTGATCCTTGGTTTGCATTCAATACACAGGATGAACATACAGAGGCACCTCTGACCAAAGTGTTTCTGCATATGAACAGTGAAGGGCTAGTTCAGCAGCCGGTATATTGTAGACCACTGCATGTAGACACCAATAACAATATAACACATTGAAAAAAATAAAGTCAAAATGATCTTTTTCCCAAAACATAAAAAGTACACTGGCAAAAACTCCAGAAATATGACTATTACATCTTCCAGCTAAAGTGATCTTTGTGTCAAAGGACTGAGAGATGGGGGAGGGGGCGAGACGCCAGCGGGGTCGGGTGGTGGTGGCGCCCCCCCCCCCTTTGGAGATGTTGTGTGGGGCGGAGAGCCGCGATTGGCCGGTTTTGGAGGGGCCGCTTTCCTTGCCAGACTGAGGGAGGGTCAAGTGGAGCCCAGGAGGAAGTGATGCGCTGTGGGGCTGCCACTTGACACCCAGAGGACCACAGCAGAGAGGCACTCAGTGGACAC